AAAGGTCAGATGAACCGTCTCGTCTTCCCATCCAAGCTTCCCTTTCTGGTGGCTTCAAGGTAGCCACCTTTAAGTTAAGAGGCATGAGCAAAACACAGAACATCATTCTAGACCAGACCTTCAGCTGTGGGTACTTGCTAGAATTCTACTGGCAAAGAAACCACAAGCCTGGGGACCTCCCTCAAAACTGCCCCAGGAGTAAGCAGGCTACAAAAGCTGTGCTGTCCTCAAGAAGTCTGCCCGTGTAGTCCTACCTTGGATGTGGCCATGGAGGTCCACAGACAAGGAGGTCAGGCAGCTATCCAAGGGACTTACTGGCCTGCCAGAAGCATCTTCACTTCTCTGTGTTTCCTATTCTTCCCTCTTATGAATGAGTTTTCAATGGCTGTTTTCCTGTTTCTACTTTACTGTTGACGGGGGGCGTTGGGAGATCACTTGTCTTGAGTTTACGGGTGATTAGACAGGAAGCCACCCAGAGATGATGGGGAAGCCCACAGATCACCCAAAGGTGATCTTAGGTTGAACTTCATGCCACAAGTGGCTGGGGCTTGGGTTGTCTACCTTGGAGAGAGGAGGAACGGGCTCTATGTGAGGGGTAAGAAAGGTGAGCAAAGGGTTGAGCGATGGCAGGGATCATTAATTATCCCGCAAACCCATTCTTTCCTTCTCAGAAACAGAACTCCTGAATTTTTAGGCACATGGTTTCTTGGAATAAAAACCTTTCCTAGACTCCCTTGCAGTAGGTGTAGCCCTGCCCCTAAGTTCTGTTCAATGGGATGCACAACAACCAGATGGCACACCCTGAGGGAAGGGGTTTTGCTTTCTCCTTTCCCTCTCCTCTATCCTGTTGGCTGGAGCCATCTTCATGGACCTCAGTGTTAAAGCTGCATACTGGGGTTGGCAGAGAACCAAGCTGGAAGGAACCTGGGTTCTGGGGATCACGGAGCCACCCTGGCAGCCCTGGGTGATAGAAAGTACTGAAACTTCTTTGCGTAAGCTGCTGTTGTCATGACAGCTGAACCCAATTCAAATTTAGAATTAGCCACACAAGGTCAAGACAGAAGCAGGTACTCTGCACGGCCATGCTCCTGACCAGAGGGAAGGTAGGGATGGGCAGAGAGCACGCTCCTCCAAGAGAGTTAATATTTACTAAAAAGCAAACAAACAAACAGAACGCAAGCATAATAAAACCCTTTCAGAAATCAAGACGATGATTAGAATAAAAAAAATCTCGACACACAGTGTTGCATAGCTTGAATGTTTTTATATTGATCAAACTTTTTCAGTAGCGTCGCTGACAGGTCAGAATGAAAAACATCTCGAATTTACAGGAAAAAAAAATATTGCTCATTAAGATACTTTTCGAAACTACATAACACCGATCTTTTCATTGCTGCAAACAGAATGTGGGTTACAAAGATGGCGGACAGTCAGCCATCAGACTCCTCAGAGGCAGGCTGAGGTCAGTCTTTGCCATCTTTACGATTCTGATCTCAGCGCAGAAGGGCAAGAACTGGACAGTGGCAATCCTTGTCTTGGCATTCAACCCCGCCAAGGTTAGGGACAATCTCTTGGAGACAAGTCATGGAAATGTGACACATTTCTCTCCAGGAGTTATATGGCTTTGATTTAGGGCTAATTTCCATTCTCTGCAATACAGACTCCCAGAATGGTAAACGTTGAAAGAACCAAAGAACTCATTTAGTGCAGCCCAAATTCCTCTTTTTTACACATAAGGAAATTGAGGCCCGAGTCACCCAAGTCACCCAAGTCTAGGTCTAGATGCGAATGAGCCTTCCCTATTGAGGCCACCTCTTTGTTGCCTCTGAAGGATGAAAAGGGCTGTTGATTTCACTCAAATGATAATTTCTTTTTCTTTCTTTCTTTCTTTCTTTCTTTCTTTCTTTCTTTCTTTCTTTCGCACTCAAATGGTAATTTCTGAGGAACAACAACAACAAAAATATCAGGTAGCAACACAAAAGAAACAGCATCTACACTAATCTAAATAAAAGCATTTTTAGTGTTAACTATCTGGAATTAAAATAAAAAACTTAATCAAAAACATTTTTAAATATAAATTACTGTGGTAGGAATTATGGACCAGCACATGTTGGTGATATAACACCCCCCATCCTGACCTCCCCTAGCCAAATCGAGTTCAATCTCCCCCCCCCCCAACCCCCGCCGGAAGTCAAAACACCAAGTGTAGGTGCTATAGAGTGACACGGGAGGGATGTCCCATCCTAAGTCAGCACATGAGTGGATCTGATCAGATCTTCCAGAGAACAAAACACAAATGTAAAATGTCCTCTCTGTTCACATCCAGCCAAATTTCCTAGGCAAAATATTTCCCATGATTTTGATGCTTCCCACTTAGGACCAAAAAAGGCTTCAGTGTTATTGTTTAAATATGTAAAGTACTGCAGCAGGAATGCTGAGGTACAGAATTTAATTGGTTGTATCTATAGTAATTTTTACTCGTATATTTTGCCCCTTTAGATAATTCTCTTGTCCTGTTCTTCCCCAGTATTTCATAAATTCTGTTCCGAGTAACATCTGCTGGGTCTGAACTTCTGGCCTGCACGGTGGCAGAAAAAGGCTAGTTGCAACCTCTGGTAAACTGTTTTGAAATTTATGTACAGTAATGACAGCCTTCCTGCAACTATATTAAATAATTTGCTTAAAAGAAGTAAAACACAACTCTCCAAACACATTTAGACTCCTCAAGCTTCTTGCACACAGGGGGATGATGCATTTGTATCAAATGGCAATGATTTGCTAAACATCCTGATGGCATTTAAATTTAGCTCAGCTTTCCACCTTCCCCTCTTTTTTGGGACTTAACTGGTAGAATTTTTTCTGAGTCCAGATTGAAAGAAGGCACTGGTATGAGGATATTCCTTTGTGCTTTTGTTCTCAGCCCAAGAAACGTTCTCTTAGAAAAATCCATACAATTCCACTTCTATTTCATGGGTTTTGGGGCTAATCACTGGTAAGTTAACTCTTCCAAGTAATGCATCTGCAGCAGTGTCAGATGGATTCCAGCTGATGAAAACTCACACTGATAGCGTTTTATTCAATCCTCGTATTCAACCCATAGCCTCAGCATTATTTCTCCTATTTTACAGGACGCTGTAATTACAGGAAATAGAGGAAAGAGAGGTAGCACTCTTAAGTGAGCAGGCCAAGAGCTAGTTGTTGATGAGTGGGACCGGGAACCAAATCTCCAACTGCATAATTCCAACCTCTCCTGATTCATTCTGCTGGCTTAGCATGAATCTGACGAGGATCGGGCTTAGGTGGTCTCCTGTTTCACAGTAGCGGGTGATGGCACCGTGTGACGCCTCCCTCCCACCCCTGCCGTTCGGCAGTAAAATATTGGTGGGGGAAAGAGGGAAGTATGCAATTAAATATGCTAAGTCTGGAGATAAAGAACCTTTAGAAACCCGGCTCCCATCATATGGGTCTTTATCCCTCTCGCATCCAGGAAACTACTCAATTGGTCCAGAGTTTGTTAAACATCAAAATGGCTTCACTTCTGTGCACTATGATATGAAAGCATCCTTTTTCTGTAAATCCCATTAAGAAACTGGCTTAGCTTCCTTGTCCTTCAGGGTACATAAAAACTGCTATTTAAAAATACCACATTAAAATTTTTACGTAATTTATTTTCCTTAAATAATAATTTGCTACAATCCTGTCACAAATTTTTTAAAAATTTAACACAGTATGAACAAAGGCAGAATTCTTTAGGACAATCAAAATCAGGGTGAACTTAGAATAAATTAACATCAAATTGTGTTTATATTCAGATAGCCTGATCCTCTCCTTTGAAATGAAATGGAGACCATTGTAACTGAGGGTGAATGCACACATTTGTTCTTCTATACAGAGACTCATTCTTTATATAAACTCAACTGTAATTTGAATCAAGTTAGGAGTCCTGAGAAACACTTACCATGGGCGCGCACACACACACATCCACACACATCCACGGACAACCCTCTAGAAGCTGGGTTTCCCATGGTTCCATGACTAGATCTTTCCTCAGCAGGGCCAACGATTCTGAACATTTAGATGATATCCCATCTCCCCTCAGGAAAATCGTAATGTTTCAAGTGTAACATAGCTTGAAGTAGCAGCAATCCATGTAGTAGATTCAGTAGTCGATAATTCCAGTCTCGGGTTCTGCATGTACAGCAAGAGGCAAGCAGAGGCGAAGAGCACTTCCTCCTAAAACTAACGCACGGACGACAGGATAAAGCGGGAGTCCTCATGCTCAGAGTCTCCACTGAAAACTCAATCGAAGCTGCATGACTAATCCGGTCCAGGCACCGCGTGAGCACCTGAATAGGGTCAGTAATGCAGGGAGGAAGCGGGGCATCTTAGGATTCTCAGAAACATGAATATGGGACGTGGCAGGGAGATGGGACAGAGGAAGGGAGGCCAGAAAAGGTACTGCCCGCTCCTTCAGCCTGAAATCCCACCACCCTGCCATTTAGTACATTCATCAGGGTTTCCTTAGCAGGGGGCAGGTGAATGCTAACGGTTCCAGCTCCGTCTAGAAGGACAGAAAGCTCAGCCCTTAGAGTCCGATAAACATATACACACAAAACATCCAAGCAACTCGAAATAGCCACACCATCTTGTTTCTGGGCGGTCAAGAGCATTGCTGGCGTCCCCTCTCAATTGCCCAAGGATGGTTTACAGGAACACAGTGATGTCTAGGGAGGAAGGCAATAGGACAGGCCCCAAACTGAGATCCGCATTTGCTTACTTCTCTCTGAGGAACAACGGGCCTAACTGACGCTGCAACCGCATGCGTATCTACACGGTTCCTATGTACACGATACCTCTTCTATAGAACTTTAAAGTGCCTGGGTTCAAATGTGCTCATTCCTTCCCCACAGCCTACAAATTCCTCTTGCTGCTTCCAAAGAGAAGGTCTGTCCTTAAGGAGGATGCCCCTGGGAAAGAGGAATGAACATTTCACAGTTGTCTTAACTGGGATCCAGCATTTGGACTAAGCCTTCTTCATAAACACGAAGAATCGCTTCACATACAAACTTGTACTGGCTCTGGAAGAGAAAAGAAAGGTGTCAGTCCAGCCACGGTTCCATAAACTCTGCCTCCTACCACATCTCTGCGTACTCTTTTACGTTGCTCATAAATACTCTCTGACCTCCAGCTCCGGGCCAGGCCAGACCCTGTGCTACGTGCCAGGGAAACACCGTGAAGGCACACCCGTGAAGCCATGATTCCTACGTGAGGGCTGGGGGCTGCTCCCAGAGAGCGGTAGGGAGAGTGTCATGGAAACCACAGCAGAGGGAGGGGCCGGTGGTCTGGAGGAGCCAGGGAAGGGGTGAAGTCACTGCGGGGTGGCCATTCTACTGTACAGTACACTCAAGTGTGGAGACTCCGATGGCCCATTCTGAGTGGCACTGTCGGGCTCGGAGCCCCTGCCTGGAACACCTGGGCACGGACGGAGAGGCTGCACTGGTGACTGGGACCTGGTTGTGCAGGGTAAGGTGAAGGAGTCTTGATTTTGTCTTAAAAAAAAAAAAAAAAGGAGAGCCACTAAAGCTGCTCTGTGGGATACGGCCCTTTATATTAAGAAATGCCCGAGAAACTCATTTAGTGAAGTGTGCGGGGTGAAAGAAAGCATTGAGACTGTGCTTCTTCACCAGCTAAGCAAATCTACCAAGAAGATGCACTGTCAAAATTTTTAACCGGCAATGAGGTCTTCCATACCACGCAGCGGGGCAGAGAACAATATTCTTAATAACCCGGTTTTCTCCCTCTTAATTGTATTTCCTGAGTCTAATATAAAACAAGAGGTCCCGATCATTAGAGAAATCTCATAAACTCTGTCCCTGAGCCTTTGAGGACACGGAGCTGGCTGCACGGTGGACTTACCACTCTTTTCTTTGCTTATGCCGCCTCATTCATCTGGGGGGGTTTTGCCTTAGAGGCCACTCCTCCAGAAAGCCTTCCTTGGCTTTTCAAAGTCAGCTTTGATGGTCTTCCAGCGAGTTCTTACCCTTGGACTTCCCCCATTACTGCTGAGATTTATAACTAATTCAGTCTTCCTACTACATACAAGTCTGGGTCTCTTCGGTGTGTGCAATTATCGAAATGAATGTGGGATGGTCCCCATTTTGCAGATGGGGAAATGGAGGCTTGGAGAGAAGCTAAGTGATTATCTAAGGTCACCCAGTATGTGGAGGGGCCTGAATCATGCTCATTTTTCTACATCACCCGCCCGGCCCCTCTTGTGGTTCTAGGGAAAAACCACAGGATTCCTCTTGAGGACACTTGCAGTGCCACTTACCCAGATGTGGCAGACATGGGAGATAGCCCAAGAGGAGAGAGCAGGGCCATGTGAAACGTCCACTGAGCCAAAAGGCTCACCTGTACACGGACAGGTGGAGTAAAACCCTCAGGTGGCTCTGTTTGCTTCTGAGGGACAAATGATGGGCCAGCGGCTTGACCATGTAGAATGCAACCTGGGCTGCTCCCTGGCCACGTGGCTGGCTGGAAACACAGCACAGACGCGGTGAAAGGGATGGACAGTGAGAGACAGAGGTCAGATGGGGCGGGCTTTGGAGTCGCTCAGCCCCTGACAAGTTTTGTGACCTTGGGCAAGCACTGCAGTGCCCTTGAGCCTTGGTCTCTTAACCTGCAAAGCCCTTCACACAGGCCTGGCCCAGGGCAAGTGCTCAGAAAGCGTGGGCCATCGTTATGACTTTTATCAATGGATTTCTACTCACTGATGTCTGCACCATCATGGCACGCTGGTCTCGCATTTTCCGGACGATGTCCAGTGGGTAAACGGGCAGGTTTCTCTCAGTTAGGCACATGGCTGTTTCCATGGTGACCAACACGCCAGTACGACCTATGCCAGCACTGGGGGGACAGAAGCAGAGACCTGGGATTTGCTCAGGCAGTATTTCTGCACGGCCCAGCTTAATGCCTAGCCAGTTCCCACGTTTACTCAGACAGAGCTCTCCTCCCCTGACCTTCGGGAATACAAAACACACATTCAGGCTGTGCTCTCCAACAGGCTGAAAAGGCCTCTCCTCATATATTCTGAGGCCAGGGCTTAAACACCGATGAAAAGAAACCCACCTTTAAGGGCTGCACCCTCCTCTTGTTCACATCTATTGTGAAGGTCAGCAACTCAAGGACACAGGGAGAGCGGAGGGGGGGAGTGGGCTTCTTCAGTTCTACAATCAGAGGTTTATGCTTTCATAAAATTCCCAATCTTTTGAAACAGCGAAGAAGAAATGAGCAGAGCCTTCTCGTAAAAGCATAGAGTCTCATGGGATTTAGGGTGATCTCTGCCAAGTTTCCTCAGGTCTTTCCCTACGGAATATGTGTATTTAAAAACCAAACCAAAGTAAACCTGGAAGCCACAGTACCTGCAGTGAACTAACACCGGTTCACCATCCACTCTCAGGGACCTCACGTAGTTTACAAATTCCAGAAAGTCCGAGGAGTCATCAGGAACGCCGTGGTCAGGCCACGCGACATACTGGAGATGTGTCACAGTGTGCTCTTCCCCGGTCTGTGGAAGATGCAGGGTGGCCTCGGTGAGCCAAGCCAGCAAGTGGGCAGCTTGAGTCTGGCCCCAGCCTCAGCCTCAGCTCAGCGGTCCTGTCTCCTGACGCCCTTTCGCCCGCTGCGCACAGCCCTGCGGTGGCCCCTGGAAACTCCTGCTCCCCCCTCCAGGACACAGCTCGGGCCACCCTGTCAGGACTGCTTCCTTCTGTCCACTGAGATTTCTTCCCACTCGCTCCTATGGTACTTGCCATCAGGGCCACACTCACTGGCTTTTTCTTTTTTCAAAAGGGTAAAATACATGTAACACGAAGTTTACCATTGTAACCATTAAGTGTATATAGTTCAGTGGCATTAAGTACATTCCCAGGGTTGTGCAACGATCACTGCTATTACCCGGATTTTTTCATCTTCCCAAGTGGAAACTCTGTACCCATGAAGCACTAACTCTTCATTCCCCCCGCCCCCAGCCAATCACCCCACCTCTTTCTGTCTGATTGTGACTAGCCCAGGGACTCTATACAGTCACATAATACTTTCCTCTTGTGACTGGCTTACTTGACCTAGTATAAGGTCTTTCAAGGTTCAGCACTGCTATAACATGCATCAGAACTTCCCTCCTTTTAAAAGCTGAATAGCGCTCCACTCTGTAAATATACCACATCTTGTCTATCCATTTATCCGTCCCGGGGCACTTGGGCGTTCTCACTGCTGTCTAGTGTGAACAGTGGTGCTGTGAACAAGGGCGCTGGTTCTTTCACAAGCGTTTACCCAAATGCTCACCAGGAGTGAACGGAGAACAGAGCTGGAAGCACTGCCCTGTGCAGGCCCCCAGCGGATCTGGTCTAGCACCTGCCTTGAAGCTGCACCCTCCCCCGGACCACTCACTGAAGGGACACCGCTCACCTCGGTGTTGGTGACCAGCATTTCTCGGAACACATAAGCGATGGTGCAGTCCTCTGACTGACAGCGGATGTGAAAGTTGCCGTGTTCCATGACGTCGGGAGGATCAGGCCAGTACTGGTGACATTTGGTCTGCAAGAAAACCCCTGGGTATGAGCTAACCTCCGCTGTGGGGGTGGTGCACATGAGCCGTTACCTGGATGGACAGGTGGGCATCTGACCGGAGCCCTCTCACTCACACCAGGTACTCTGAGAGCTGCAAAGCCAATGTGCTCTGGGTCTGTTCCCTGTTCCCAAAGGAGCGTCCCCTCCTCTCCTGGAGAATAGGGTGGAGGTCAGCCTGCAAGGGCCGAGGCCACAGCTCTCAAGCCAGCCTGGAGCTGGAGCCCGGAGGAGGAGTACAGAGCTCACCCTCTTCGTCACCAGGGTCCACTTGCTGGAAGAACAGGAGAGGCCTCAGACACAGTGCCTTGACCTAGGAGCGGCCTCTCCCTCTCATCCTTTCCCATTCCCCATCAAGCCCACTCCAGGCGCTCAGGCCCCTTCTCTGCTCTTCACACCACCCCCCTTCCACCTCACCCTCCTTTCACCATCCCTCACCTACCCACATGAGTAGAAGGAAGGCCTCATGGCACAGAGGTTAAGAGCACACAGGTGGAAGTCAGAACTCCACTGGACTCATTTTATCTTCTGTTAGCCACATGACTTTGAACCTGCTACCCAACCTCTCGGATTTGCAGTCTTTGCCTGACAGACAGGGACAGCACCTGCCTCCCAGACGGTGACAGAGGTCGGAGGGAATGGTGGGCAGTGCCAGGCTCACCATGGGGGCTCAGGTTACCATTGTGGTTATGGGGGGCCCACATCAACATGAAGAAGGGTGATCAGAGATTCCACCAAAATCCCAGGGAAAGAAGTTCCCAAACCGAGATGAACATCCCTTTACATTTGAGCAGTGTCCCCTAAGCCCTCAGATGACTCATGGAGCTGACATGACACACTCCTGGATGGCAGATGAGGAACCCTGGCCCCCGTGGGGTAAGCGACCTGCCCAAGGTCTCAGGGCTGCTGCGGCTTCCCTACAGGCTCAACGTCTCCCTTTTAATCCTCCCTTCCAAACCCTGAAGCCGTCTTAGCTCTTGCCTCTGGCTTCAAAGCAAAATTCAGGGCCATGCTATCCATCCCATCATAGTTCCATCAAATTCTGACTCACTCAAATTTGTTTTTTTCTCCAAGCCTAGAGTTGCAACATCTTACATAAAAATTATATTTGTGTACAGCTAAAAGGGGCTATAAACCAACAGATGCACGTAATTTGTCTGGAACAGCTTTTCTATTCTTATTTTCAAACGTCACATGGAGTATTTGAAATTAAAGTATGCTGTTGGGAAGCTGGAGTTAAGAATTTACTTGTAAACCTTAAATGTGGGTATTTTGGCTAGTGGCCATTTCCCAACTTCCATAGACATGAAGGGGCCCCTGTCCCCAGAAGCCGAGGCAGAGTCGATACCCACTGGCCTATACCTGCCTCATCCTCACCAGGTGTTGGGGAACATCATCAAAAAGACGTGACCACACTGGCCGGTGAGCTGGACCTGGGCACTCAGAGGCTCCACACGCCCTCCCCTGTCCTTGGAATGTGGGGTCTGCTTGCCTTTCCTGCTCCCAGGGGCTGCTCCAAGGACACAGCCTTAGGATAGTAACATGGGGTTGAAAACACCTACATTGTATACATAACTGAGCCCACTTAGGGTCTCTTTATAAACTTTTTTTTAAGTTTATTTATTTTGAGAGAGACAGAGAGAACGAGTGGGGGAGGGACAGAGAGAGAGGGAGGGAGAATCCCACGCAGGCTCTGTACTGTCAGCACAGAGCCCGATGTGGGCTTGAACCCACTAACTATGAGATCATGGCCTGAGCCGAAACCAAGAATTGGACGCTTAATTGACTGAGCCACCCAGGTGCCCCTCTTTATAAACATTTAAGATTTAGTGGAAAGGTACAGGGAACCATTTGTTTTGTGGTTATGACAAGCCTCGTAAGTTCCCTTTGCTTATTTTAAATGCCACCTGGGGCGCCTGGGTGGCGCAGTCGGTTAAGCGTCCGACTTCAGCCAGGTCACGATCTCGCGGTCCGTGAGTTCGAGCCCCGCATCAGGCTCTGGGCTGATGGCTCGGAGCCTGGAGCCTGTTTCCGATTCTGTGTCTCCCTCTCTCTCTGCCCCTCCCCCGTTCATGCTCTGTCTCTCTCTGTCCCAAAAATAAATAAAAAACGTTGAAAAAAAAAAATTTTAAATGCCACCTATGGGGCACCTGGGTGGCTCAGTTGGTTGAGCATCCGACTTCGGCTCAGGTCATGATCTCATGGTCTGTGAGTTCGAGCCCCGCATCGGGCTCTGTGCTGTCAGTTCAGAGCCTGGAGCCTGCTTCAGATTCTGTGTCTCCCTCTCTCTCTGCCCCTCCCCTGCTCATGCTCTGTCTCTCTCTCTGTCAAAAATAAATAAACATTAAAAAAATTAAAATAAAATAAAATAAAATGCCACCTAATCTCAGTTGGTTAAGCGTCCGACTCTTGGTTTCAGCTCAGGTCATGATCTCATGGTTCATGAGTTTGAGCCTGCTTGGGATTCTCTCTTCCCCTCTCTCTCTGCCCCTCCCCTGCTATGTTCTCTCTCTCAAAATCAATAAACTTAACAACAACAACAACAACAAAAAGCCACCCCAAACTGCCACCTACCAACCTAGAGTAGCCTGCGTCTTCCTTTAGTCTCTCCCGGTCCCCTGCATATGGGGGCCAGCTTCATATTATACCTGGGTAGCCTGCCCGGGCAGGCTGCAGACCCACACAGGGTGTCAATTTCTGCTACAGACTCTCAAGCATCCTACTCACAGGACAACGGATGGGAAGGGTCTCTGAAGTGATCAGCCCGTATAAGGCAGAGCTACAAACACCTGTTTCCAGAGATTCCCAGCGAATTCACCAGAACTGGACATTCTACTTCTTGATCAAATTTGGATTTTAGGTCTATTTGGATCTCAAAGCACTAAGGGTGTAGTAGAAAGAGCAAGGGGTCTGTGGAAACCCTGAGTTTCAATCCTGGTTAATAATGCGCTCCACTAACCAAGTGTGTGATCCTGGGCAAGTTACTAGACTTCCTTCAGTCTCTGTTTCCACATTGATGCTGGCTATGGGGGGGAGGATGCTAACGCCTACTATCTACTGAACAGTGTGTGCCTAGTTCTCAATGGTACTTTTTATGGACATTAGCTTGACCTCAAAAAACCCTATGAGGTAGATACTATTAGTGTCTCTGTTTCGCATACGAGTAAACTGAGGCTTTGGGGGTGAATCAACTGGTATGAGATCATCCATATCAGAAGTGGCACATACACAGGGAGAAGCTGTGGGTGGTGGTGAGGACCAGATAAGGATCCTCAAGATAAAGGGCTCGGGTCAGCTGAGAGTTTGTAACAGGAGAGGGAGGGAACATGTAGCCTGGATTTCAGAAGAACAGGTTTCTAACAATTGATAAACAAGAGGGGTAAGTCCCCAGGGCCAGAGATAATGAAGGGACTGCTGACTCAGGACAAGGGGCCTGCTGGGCTGGGCTTAGTCAGGAAGACAGGCTGGGAAACAGAGAAGCCCCCTGGGCCACAGGGAGACCTCAGAGGAGCTCAGGTGCAGAGTAGATGAATAAGAGGGGGGTGGGTGGAACGCAATCAGGACAGAGCAGGAGGGGCAGGACCTGTAAGAACAGCCAGAGGAAGTAAGGCCTATCGGAAGGAAGAAAGGGCCCTTCTTTCCGAGCTGGAACAAATAGGACAAGGGAAGAAGGGGCTCCTGTCCAGAGCAGATCATCTGTCGCTAGCCATGCCTGTTGCGGCTCACTAATGACCTCAGAGCGGGAAAGGGCAGAGTCAACTTTACAGCAGAAAGAGAAGCCCAATCCAGGTGAGGAGACCACGCCCCATGGCCCTGAAAGACCTTACGACCCAGCAGAATGGCACCTCCACGAATATTTTGAGAGAACCTGGAGCATTCAAGCACCCAGAAGTCACAGAATAGGCAGACAAACATAGCTCAGTTTTCAAATGGGGGGACTGGCAGATCGTGGAGACGGGGAGGCAATAAAGTTGACATTAGTCATCTACAAAATAGCAGAAATGGCCCAGAACAGGGCCTACAGTGTGGGGTGTGGTGGTGGAATCAGAGGATTAAATAACAGAACTGCATGGCGGTAAAGCAAACTTTGCCACGGATGGTCTCAACTTGGGTTGAGGATGGCTTCAACATCACTCCCCTAATACTTTAACTCTCTTTTTATGAGAGAGAGAGAAAGAGTGTGTGTGTGCACATATTTGCAAGTGCCGGCTTTGGGTTCTGAGCCTAGAAGGCAAGAGTATTTACTTAGAACTTAATAACACAAGTCTGACATTATTTTTAGATCCCTAAAGAGCCAAGTGCATAGAGGAGAGGGGTAAATTATTCTGTGTCTTCCAGGTGGGAGAAACAGGTGGGGTGGAGGTTCAAGGCCACGTGGATTTCAGCTAGTTGTAAGGAGTAATTTTTTAAAAATCAGGGCTGAACACTAACAAGATGGACCTTGGAGGTGCTTTTGCAGAAGTGGGGAGCCCTCTGCCTGGGAGACACACATACAAGTCCTTTGCAATCCCTGGGGCTGTCTCTGCAGAATTAGTAGGAATTCTTATTTTGCTGTTTCAGGTTGAGAGTATAGACTGTTCTCAAACATACTATTCATTCCAATCCTGTGTATTCTGATTTTCGGTGTGGATCAATTTGGTATTCTGAACCATGTACCAAGGAGAGAGGCCTGGGAGGAAGCAGCACACAGATCATTCAAAACAGGTGGCTCAAAGTTAATTTATATCTGACTTTGGAATGGGTTTCTGAATAAATGTTTCATAATGAAGATATCTCAATGTATGCACAAGTTAGAGAATGTATAATACAGGTACCCCTTGCACAGTGACTACTGTTATATAACCAGTGATCTGTTCCTATGGAAAATGCATGCCCTGCTAAAGCACAGTGTGGTGCCCATCACTCTCCTAATCAAGCCCTTCTTTCTTCTTTTTGCATCGGCTTTTGCTGCAAAGCAAACAGAGGCTGACAGAAGTTGTAATGCCTCCCACTTGTTATGGCCACTGTGAGCCTAGCACCCACACTGCTCTTCGCAGGACCAGCCCTTGTCCTGGGTGGGTGAGGCTGCAGTCAACACACGGGTTCTGGGGCAGGGGAGGTGAGGCAAAGGAGACTGCCTTCTGGCTAATTATAATGGATCTGAACCAGGAGTGGGAGGGGCTGTGTGAGCTCAGAGAAAGGCCAGGGAATGGACAGGAGTGCTGAGCTCCCCGACACTGGAGGTGACTATCAGTAAGTCTCTAAAGGAGATTTATGGGTCATGTAGGGGCTGGACCAAGTGATATTTAAGACCCTTTCCAGGTCTGAGATTCATGTTGCATAGAGCACGGCGTGACACGCCCACGTTTGAATCAGAAATCAAGCCACTTACCCGCCCTCGCTCTGTGAGAGTCGTCAACATGACAATGAGTGATAACTTCTGATCCCAGACGACTTGCCAAAATTGTGCACAGGTATGTGGCAGGGGCCCCTGAGCGGCGATGTACTTGTTCACAAGGTTAGCAGCAGGAATTTCCATCTGGCAAGAGATTGTTAAGACATTAGAATCTGTCACTGCCACAAGGTGGCCACGGAACTGGATCTTACACTCTTCTAGTTGGTAACGGACATCACAACAGAATATTCTGTCAATGTACAGCCAATAAGAAAAATCAAAGAAAAAGCCATTTTTAAAAATCCTTGAAAGATACTTGACAATAATACTAGCATTAACTACTTAAGATAAAGCTATGTGACACTCAGTAGGCAATAATCAGAAATGTACCTACAAGACGGCAGAAGAGTTTGGATGATCTTTACTGCTATATCGAAATTGGCCATCTGCATCTTCAGCCATTCATACCAGTCTTCATGCCCAAATCTTTCCCCACACAGGGCTTTCTATCAAAATCTACTTGCTTTCCTTTGAAGCATAGACCATACAGCCTTATACCACCACTATGCTGCACTTTGCTTTCTGCAGGGTTCCAATGCCCGTGTCATCGAGTTGATCAATCCTTCCCCCCACCCAGCTTTATTGAAGTGTAACTGACAAATAAAAATTGCATATTATTTAAGGTATACAACATGATGGTTTGATGTATGCATATATTGTGAAATAATCACCACAATCAAGTTAATGATCACATCCATCACCTCACACAGTTATTTGAGTTGATTAATGTTAAACATCAAAATGTTTTCAACTGTCCTCAGTATCCCTCCTCCCATCCTGCTCTGCTTTTACTTCTTCCCTCTGAACAGAGTCATTTCTATGAAAAAACAGTCAGAACCTGCTGAACTTTCAAGTGACACTGTGATTCATTCATTCTTAGGTGGGGTACACAGAGGCACTCAATTCATGGTTTGGTTGATGTTTGGGTTATTGGCTTCTTCAACCCTGGTCTCAGTTCCCCAATTTCCCTGTAAAGACACCAGATTACGTGATCCTGCTGACCTCACCAAATCTGATGCTCTGCTTTCAAGGCATCAGGAATGTTGAAGTGAGGGTCAATGAATTCCATAGATGTTTTGGGATAAATGGAATCACTGATAACACCCATCTTTATTAGGGTAGTTTTTGATATTTTGCTATAACTTGAGAACTTGAGAAATCATCTGTTCATGTAGGTCAAGGGTTGGCAAACTTTGGCCTGAGGGCCAAATCTGACTGTCACTTTGCAAGCTAAGAGTGTTTTAAAAATGTTTTTACATGGTTGCATTTTAAATGGTCATATAACTACTTAAGTAATAGCCTCCATTTTCCCTCAGCTTGCAAAGACTGAAATATTATCTAGTCCTCTACAGAAAAAGTGTGCTGACCCCTGGTTTAAATGAAGAAAATGAGGTTCAGAGAGGCCAAGTAAGTTGCCCAAGATTCATTTTCAGGGTCGAATGAATGCTTTTCCCACAACATGTGAAATTTTTTACGTTTTCTTTTTGGGTTACACGCACAAGTGGTTTTTTTCTCCCTTATTTTTAGGTGGGATGTACAGTAATAACATGGCGGGGGGGAGGGAAACACAGAAAGTTACAAGCGCACGACCGGCAAACAAAAAAACCCCCAAAACCAAAAAAAAAAAAAACCCTACAAAAAAACCTCAAACAACAAAAAAAAAACCCCCACAAAAATGTCAGCAGTTCAAGACAGAAGGCATGTGGACGATGGGAGTCAGAGACACAGAATCTGAGTTTTGGTCTCACCTTCTGTTAGCTTTGTGACTTTTCAAATTATTTAATCTCTCTGAACCTTAGTTTTGTCCTCTGTAAAAAGACTATTCTGCCTTCCCTCAATGGCTGCTGGGGTGCTGAAATGAGGGGGTGAACAGGAGAGCACTTGGTCAACTGCAAAGCACCACCCATACCATTCATGCTTGTTACAGTGATCAGTGGGCTCTTATTATCCAGATTCTTGACTTACGTTCACATAACTCGCATTAATATAATCTTCATTTCCCTGCAATAATACCCGGGTGGTGTCATCTGTGGGGGAGAAACAAATTTACCAATTATCCTGAGCATTATTTTTATCGGACCAAGGAAACAAGAGTTCAGTCCCCAACCCCATCCACAGCTTTGCCTCATTAGCATAAACACTATTCCCCAACTGTTCAGAGTCGAAATGGCGGCATTAAAAATGGTGGTGTTTACAGACACACTGAAAATCGTTCCAGAATACCAGACAATCTGTGTTAAAAAGGGAAACATTATCTCAGCGTGTTGGGGGTGGGGGGTGGGGGAGAGAAGGAAGCATTCACACCGGGTACTCACAAGGCAGCACATCTTTATATCGGTTTTTGTCCAAATTTTGAGGCAGCTTTGCAAACGTGATGGCCAGACCGGGCTTCTTTCTGTAGAGTTGCTACATAACAAATACAGAAGTGGGGGAGAAAAAAACAAACAAACAAAAAAACCAACCTTGCAAAAAACAGCTATGGAGGGAGCATGGAAACATACTTTTAACAATAAAGTCTACCACCTGTGGCACTAAATCTTAACATTTAAAAGTGATTAGGTGCTATGTTTTAAAAGAAAACTCTTCCCAATAAAAAATTCTACAATCCCATGAGAAACTGACTAAACTCACTAATTTTTTTTTTTTAACATGAAGATCTTTGGGGGGAAAAAAAGTCACAGGAAGGGGTCTGAGTCATAGATAATGGATCATGGTAAGTAAAATCTTGTCTTTTTGACAGTTATTTGACAAATGATAAAAGCAAGTCGAGAAAGAAAAGAATTCTGACTCAAAGTTCAATGGAAACCATTTATATTAGTCTAAAAACATTTCTCTCCAGTTCAATGGAGTGAACCGGGTTCTTAGCTGAACAACAAGAGCATTTCATTCATCTTCTCAGAAGTATGTTTGCACAGTAAAAACATTTCTTCCAATACGTAGTAAACTTCATTTAAGAGGTATCTTTGCTGTACAATATAATAACTAGCAAAAAATCCAATTAAGCCATCTTTGCACACCTATAAGACCCTATTACATGTTTGTGCAGTGCCTGATGTGATTCTGACAACGGTTGTGTGAGAGGTACTAAGAGGACCCTTCTTTTGCAAGCAAGGAGGAGAGATTAAATACCTTGGCTCACAATCACCAACGGGAGGCTGAATTCAGATCTGACTCAATGCTAGAGTTTTCTCTTCCTTTGAGAACACTCCACTGAGGTATGACTGTCATGTAAAAAGTGGTACATATTTAATGTACACAACTTGATGAGTCCGGGGATAAGTATACACCAGGGAAACCCCACGAAGACCACAGACACATCCATTCCTTCCCAGTTTCCTCCTGCCCTAGAGTTTTTTCATACAACTGTTTCTCACACTTTGAGCTAGAGAGTGAAATACTAGTCACTGTGGTTTTATGAAAGTTTACAAACAATACAACTTTTTCTCAATGTTGGAAGCAACCTTTTCTTCCCTTAGAATATCTGGGAAATTCAGACTAGTATAAAGAAAAAAAATTATCAGTAATTTCACAAACCCAAGGGAACCCTTTTCACATTTTTTTCTCCAGTTTTCTATGTATACAAATAAACATAAGTACACATATAAACAGAGAAGACACAGATGTACATTTTTAAAAACAAAAAATAAGACTGAATTACAAATTAGCATTTCCTATATTATGTTCTATGGAACCCCAGTGTTTTGAAAGATACTAATAGGTATTCCTTAGAATGTTTCAAGGTCAGGGGCACGTGGGTGCCTCAGTCACTTAAGCATCTGACTTCAGCTCAAGTCATGATCTCATAGTTCGCGAGTTCAAGCCCCGTGTCAGGCTCTGAGCTCAGAGCCTGGAGCCTACTTCGGATTCTGTGTCTCCCTCTCTCTCTGCCCTTCCCCTCGTGCTCTCTCTCTCTCTCCCTCTCAAAAATAAGTAAACATTAAAAAGTTTCAAGGTCAGAGAAATTTGGAAAATATAAGCCATCGTATGTTCTATGAATCTCCAAGAAGCTCAACCCTGCAGTACTTAAGCTTATTTAATTCTGATTAGCTAAGCATTTCTCAAGCTAATTTGGCCATGGAGGACCTCACATCCCATAAGAAGTATTCTGGGAAATACTACCATAATTTTGAAGCCTGAAGCCTGTTTTTTCCTACTTATTATAGAGTGTCTAGGTCCTTGTGCCATTAATTATTCTAAATATTCTCTACATAAAATGATTTTTACTGGATCATAGTTTCTCATAACTTAACTTTTACTCTACTTTTGATTAGGGGGTTTTCAATGTTTTTACTCATAAACTTTTAGAAGAATTAGTATATCAAAACATATTTTTATGGATTTTGATACATACAATCAAGTTGCCCTACAGGTGTGTATGAGAATTGCTAATCCACTAAATTGCGGCCAAATCATCAACTAAAAGGTGTTTGCAATTTGAATAAGAAGGCTGGACAGTAGTTTCCCCCCAATATTTTTGCAACTTGTATTTTTTGTTGTGTAAATTGGCCTCTGTGAATCTGTTTTCCTCTTATTGGTTCTTTTTTTTTTTTTTTTAAGTCTATTTATTTATTTTGGGAGAGAGAGAGAGAGTGCAAGTGGGAGAGGGGTGGAGAGAGAAAGACTGAGACATCAGCCCAGACTTTGATATGGGGCTCGGACCTATGAACTGTGAAATCATGACCTGAGCCAAAGTTGGATGTTTAACCGATAGGGCTAACCAGGCACCCCTCTTTTTTTCTTTTTAATTAAATAAACAAACTGCATAGCAATCATTAGGAGAAAATTAGCATCAAGATTTTTGGCAACAACAATTGTGTCATGTCTTATATGTTTACCAAATGTTTAGAATTTGCAATCTCTCCTGCAGCTCAGCTACTGATCTTCACAATTTCAGTTTGTAACAAAAAGCCCCTGAATTATTATTATTATTTTTTTTTTTTGAGAGAGCCTGAGAGTTCACCCATGTGCTTGAGCGAAGGAGGGGCAGAAGAACAGAAGGGGTGAGGGAGAAGGAGAGGAAGAGAAAGAGAGAATATCTTAAGCAGGCTCCACGCAGTACTTGATCTCAGGACTGTGGCATCATGACCTGTGCCAAAGTCAAGAGTCAGCCACTCAGCCCACTGAGCCACCCAGGTGCCCTACCAGTGAACAACTTCTCAAAGGTCTGACAGCTTTAATGGACAGAGAGCATTCTAGAAATAAATTCAGGATTTACTGGAAGGTTTGGTTTGATACCGTAAGGAAAATATCTGAGTCAAATTTCCCCAAATGACATTTTGGTTCTGACTAACTGCATAGAGGTAAAATCCAATTAAGTGAATATAATCAGTAAAGCTAAGCCGGAGGTTCAAGGATTTTTTTTTTTTTTTTCCAAATAAAAGCATAAATGTAATCAACTTGAGATGGTCTAACAGAAAAGCACAGATCCAGCAAAAGGCTTTAATTACAATAAGTATATAAATGTATCTCAGCAGTAATGATCTGTTGATAAGATTGTCAAGGTACTAAAATAAAAAATAAAATAGCAGTGTTTAAACATTTTTAAATGTGCACTCCCCAGGCTTTATCTGACAGAAATGCATAAAGATACATATCAAAGAAATTTATCTACAGCAAAGCGTTTTTTTTTTTTTTATTAGAAAACTGGAAACAGTCTGAACATTTACCAACAGGGAGAGGTATTGACTTAAATTATGGTACAGTCATACCACAAAATTATGTGCAATAAAAAGATTAAACTACAGGTTTGGGAAGATATTCATTCACCTATTCTGAAGAATGCAAGTTATAAGGGCACCTGGCTAGCTTAGTTAGTAGAGCAAGAGACTCTTGGTCTCAGGGTTGTGAGTTCAACCCCCATGTTGGGTGTAGAGAGCACTTTAAAATAAAATCTTGGGGCGCCTAGGTGGCTCAGTCAGTTAAGTGTCCGGCTTTCACTCAGGTCATGATCTCGTGGTTCTTGAGTTCGAGCCCCACGTTGGGCTCTGTGCTGACAATTCACAGCCTGGAGCCTGTGTCAGATCCCGTGTCTTCCTCTCTCTCTGCCCCTTCCCCAATCGCATGCTCTCTCTCTCAAAAATAAACATTAAGAAAAATCTGTTTAAATCTTAAAAAAAAGTAATGCAAGTTACAGAATACAGTGGTGATCCCTTTTATATACAACAGCACACACACATGTGTATAATGTATATGTGTGTGCACTTGTGTATATAACACATCTCGGCATGAGCACTGGAACAAGTATGGAAGGACAGGCATCAGATTGTTATTTGTAAATAGTAACAAAGAGGAAGAAGCTAAAGAATATGGGAGTCAGGAGATAATTCTACTTTGGCTATTTCTAAATTACTTGAATTATTACAATGCAAATTATTTCTTAAATTCAAATGACTGAGAAAAAAACCAGAAGAAATGTACACATAAAATTAAATTCTACAAAAAGCTGGGTGAACAGGGATATGATTTTTGGGGCCTTTAGAAAGCACAACACACTCATATTCATGTCTGCCTTGCAAGGTGAGCACTGAGCCCTAATTCTGCTAAACTGCTTCAGTTCTAGTTTCTGAAGGTGTTAAGAGTTGGGTTTTTGGTTTCCTTTACTTTATTGACTTTTTCTCCAGATCTTGTGAGCTACTCAGCAGGCTATGACAACACTACTTGGAGAAGGGTGGTTCAGAGTAGAAAGTGAGATGCTGGAAACCCATGTAGATCTTTCTGGAAGGCTCATGGACAGAGGGAAAGGAATTAAAGACCATCAGCCGTAATTAAGACAAGGCTCTTTCAAGAACTACTCATTGTAAAAATATGCTTGGCTTTGGTTATTCCCAGGCTAAAGGTGTGTGAGGTGGGCAAGAGCTCCCAGTTACAGACCCTGGCAATTCTGCCTTAGAATGAGAGGGGCGGGGAGGCTGGAGAAAGAGTCCCAGGGACAGATGGTTAGAAGATCACTTAGTTTTATTAAAAACTATTGATTTTTAAGTCCTAAAGTGCTTTGGTCTCATCAGAGTGTAGTTCTAAAAAGCTGTGAAACTTAGGGCTAAAAATTATAAAAAATCAGCTGAGAAAGGGTTGTTCTGGAACAACCGTATTTAAATTAGTGCCTACATCACTGGCTCTAGCTTCCAAAGACAGAAAGTGGCACAGCAGAGGCTGGACCTCTCTAGTGCCGTACCGCTGGGGTGGGTAAGATGACACAGTTTTCCCATTTAAACATTTCTTCTTCGAAAAAGTCTTCTAATATTAGAGAGAGGGTATCAGGAGAGGACTCTGATCTCTTCAGACTTCTGGCCCAACCACAGATGTGAAATCTGGTCACAATCCTCAGATGAAGTGTTTGGACACTTAATGGGCTCCGACCCTGGTGGATGCTGGCAAGGCCCCACACAGGGGAAGCAAGCATTCTATCA